CAATGTGGGTCAAAATGTGTCGCTCGAGCGTCTCTTTAATTATGATAAATTTCGGACTAATTTAGGTCTGAATAAGACCATGACTAGCTACAAGTACTAAAATAGAGTGCAATTAAATGAAGCATTTACCATTCGAGTAAAGTTACCTTCACTGTTTCCTTTCGGAACTCGTCATAATGATAAATGAACAACCCGAAAGTCTGATGATGAGTAAAGCTCGAGTCGATGATTGATATGAGCTTCCTTGGGCTAATAAACACATAAAACCACTTCAAGTTAGCCCAAGGAAACCTCTAACCATTCTCATCATGTACAGTTTACTCGAATTAAATCAAGTTATCAGTTTTTGGGATTCCATTTTAGACAATTTGGAAATCAACTCGAATGCCATTAAGCTGCAATTAGGTGGTTTCAGCACAAAAAGCAGTTCCATAGATTGGATTGGCGAAAATCTAAAGCAAAATTAATCAGCTCGGAGCATATTTGCACGACTCAGACATAGAAACATGTTCGGCATTCGGTTGACAAATGCGAGGCATCTCAAAACTGGAGCAATCGCAATGCTCGGCGACTCATCGATATGGAGGCGCAAAAAAGCTGCCAACAAATGGCAAATGACAAATATTAAGCACCAATCAATAAATCGAGCGCGCTTGAATAAAGTTCATGAGTGCTTTTGCCTTACAATGAACGAAAATCACGGCTTTGATTGTTAATTACTAGCTATATATACAAATTTATAATCTTTTTTTTCTATTTTATCTTAAACAAGAATAGAGCTTGCCATAATACGACGAGACAAATTTGAATAGCTTTGTTTGCTTATTTTATTATCGTTTAATTTATGGCCAGCTAACACGAAAGGTGTCTTCACTTAAATCATTTTTAATGACACAGTTGCCCGACAGAGAACCAAAGTACTTTGGCATAGCCGGCGACTCATAAAATCTCTTTTCTCTAACTTATTTTATCTCATATGCTTAGTGGTAAGTTATTTAATTTTTGTTTACCCAACAAAAATCCCCTAAAAATCCATAAATTTCCGCTGGATAGTCCACTATAATGGAGAGAGAATAATAAAAATGGAAGACTGGTTTTCTGCCATATGTTGTCAAATATAAATACACTGCTGATATATAAGTTTCCTAATATTATAAACAACTTTTAATAATGTAATAAATTAAAAAAAAAAAAGTGCTTCAGAAGAACACTCAAAATTTATAAGATATAAGAATAATAAATGTTAAGGTAGCTGAATATAAATTCGTACAAATCCGGCTCGAAGGACCAACAAAAGTCTAGTTTCGTTGAGTTCATATTTGGGACTTCGTATGCAAGACTATACCAATGCAGTTCCTATATCATTATATACATAATTCTTATATATAAAATACATCTGCAATGGGTTAAATAAACTATTTAAATTTCAAATAAACTAGAAGAGAAATAATATATAAAGCAACACAAAAGAGTATTTAGGTTCTAGAGTAACCCAGCCTTTGTCGAAATAATTTCTTCTTGATAACAAGAAGAGTTTTGACGTCAGTCTTGAATTAATTAAATAAATTAGCAAGCGGCCAGTGAACGCGAAATGTCAAACATCGAATTAACTAATGAAAGAGCCACCTTTCCAACCGACTCAGATAATATGCAAATGACTGATAGATCTGCCTGAACGGAAACAACTTTACTTTGGCACTAAATTATTGATAATTAAATTTGGATTCTTGCCATTTACTATATGTACGTTGTTCTAATAGAAATCAGATACTTTCTAATTTATTTTCAAACTTTTAATGCACATTTTCGCTTTATTTTAGTTATATATATTCTTTATTCCGCATATAATCCGTTTTTAAATTGTTGATTGACCACTGTCGGCGCCAGATACTTTCAAAAACTTTGCTAATCTTAATTTATATTCGTAAAGAACCAAAAGCACTAAAACATTTGCCAAGCAGTCATAAAAATAAGAGTAGATAAGAAAGAAAAAAACATCTTTTTCTGCCATCCACATGTACACAGAAAAAAATTAGAATTAAATAAATAAATATATCTTAATATTAGAAACTTAGTGATCAATAAACAAGAACCAGAATTTTCATTAGGTTAAAAATGACTTTGAGTTAAAATTGATCTTATTGATTTTATCTTTACCTTGACCCGATACATGTTTTGCAGATGAAGTTTAACGATAATCATGAATTGATGACCTAGGGATTTACAAGTTCTAAAATGTTTGCATTTTACTTTAAATTTAAAATTTAAAATTGATTCCTTTTACAGATAATGCCGTAATAAAAGAACGGCACATTTATTGAATTATCAATGTAAATAAAGATATTTCTTATTGATTCGACACCAAAAAATGTAAACAATATATATTTATAAACAAAGGTACACCTTAAATAAAAAATAAAACCGCTGCTTGCCTTATAATAATTATGCTAATTATCTTGAATAAAAAACTAAAATACGCCACCAAACCATTAGAGCTGGGTATTCAAATCAAAAACAACTCCCGAAGCTTAGATCTTCGATCCATCTTTGTCCGTTTATGCAAATGTTGGCAAATCAACAACAAAATGAAAGTGATCTAGAAAAACCATAAAAATAAAGCAAACGAAACATAACAAAATCCAATGCATAAACTTGAACTTGAGCTTGGTGGCCTGGGCTCTTTTGTTACCGTTGATTTCGTGTTTGGTTTGCATATTTCCAATGAGGCGCTTAAGTCATCCGCCCGGCTGCAGTGCGGCGATTCTGCGGCGGAGCCATAGCCTCACATTACTCAAAGAGCTGGCCACAAAAGAAGCGGTGCGAAGGCAAGGCCTACCAACCGCCGTCCCGTCTCCCCCCACAAATGTAGTTCAACTTTGACGTGGACTTGAGGCAGCCAGATTATCGCTCTGGAATACTCTATCAAAACTGAATATCGCACAAATTTTAAGTTCTTGTAATAAATAAAACCTCTTTTTAACAAACGCTTAACCCTTCGAAGCAAGGTCAATAAACTATTATTAAATATAGTCTATAAGTTTAAAAATATATTAAAATGTTCATTATATTTTGGAATTTTCTTGTTGATTTTTTGAATATTTACTCTCAAAATACATCACCAACTCTGCAGACTCTGCAGACCCTGCAGACGTCTGATTGTTGCGTTGATGGTGATGATGCCGGGCGACCTTCGCCTTCAACTGCACATTACAAAGCCTAATGCGCTCCCATATGCCATTATGGCCGGACATTATGCCCACAATTAATTTAATGCACATAAATCTAACATGATTCGGCCAGTGTTTGTTCTGCTTTGTGATCGCTTGCGGTCCACTCATTGTTCACACGTTCCATTTACATGGCCATTGGCGAGTATTTCCTATGCAGCATTAAAATGTCAAGCTACCCACACCGCCGCAGCATTCAATCAATGCACCTTTATCAAGGCTTGAGCTGGCTCAGCCTGGCCGAAAACAAAAAGACCACAAAAAACCAAGCAAAGAGCCAGGCATGCAGAATACTGAGCGAAGCTGAAATCATAGATCAAAAGTTCAGTCACGAAGCCACACAGAATCGAACAGACTCGGCGGCGCATGTTTTCTGCAGACTTTAAATTTACATTGAATATTCAACAGCGGTTGCAACCTGAAATTGTTTGAAATGTGTGGCTAATATGAATTTGACTCATGGCTGTGCAACATTGCTATTGGGTCTAAATTGTTGATGTGAACAAAGTCTTCCCGGTTCGTTATTACTAGGCAATGCCGCCCAGAAGATAAGGATTTATTTTATATTTTTGTGTTGAGAGAACTTTATATAAATTTATTTTATTTATTTTTCCTTTTTTCATTCCATGTATTAACAAATTTTGTTAAGTGACTTATATGAATGAAGTTTTATTTTAGGTTTGTGGTTATGAGAATACACCATGTCATTTTGCTGAGTTGCAATGAATGTATCATTTTTTATGTATTCATTGCAAACAATTTTAAAAATGATAAAAAATCGATTCCCACGGTATTTGGATAATTTTTTCTAAAAAAAAAAACTATTTGTTTGTAAAGATATTTCAGAGAGTACAATTAATATTGATAGAGTTTGCTATATAAGAAAATATTGTAATAAAATAAATAATTAAAAGTGTATTTAAACTTATTTATGAAAGCATTCAATTTAAAGTTATTGTTATTTCTCCATTCATATAATATTTCAAAGTAAAATAAATCTTTTTTCCCAAATGTTAAGTATATTATCAAGTCACTTAACCTATTTTATAATTATTTATTAATTAATTTTAGCCAGGAAGATCCGCTTATTGAAATCTCTACTATGTAAATAATGCAATGAAACGACTTGGAATTTTGCAAAAATATAATAATTCAAAAGTAAAGAATTAAATTCACTAAACACTGAACACGTAAGATAAGATTGGAATTATCTTTTACAAGAATTACAATCATTAATATTCCGCTTAAGATAGATATTTATTTTTGAATGGTTTAAAAATCATTTTTGTTGTCCCTTTACTCTTACAGATTTTCCTCTTTAATGGTTTTAGATTATTTATATTTTTTATATTATATATATTTTATATTTTTTTATGAAAATAAGCTGTTTGTTATTATTTCAGAGTTACTTTTGGCCAAGTTGTGGCCCAAGTACTCGAGTTCCGCCAACTGACAGCTCGATGGCTGCTCGCCTCACACGAACGCTCACCGACGGGCACGCACACGGAAGCGAGTCACACGAACGACACGGACACTGTCCGTGTGAGAGCGCCTGAAAAGCTCTGCTGCTGACGCGTTTCCTTTCGATTGACAAGGCACACGGCTCACACGGATAGACTGGACGGGAGAGCAGCCAAAGCTCGCTCTCTCGGCCGGCTGCTGGCGCGATCTCGATCCGCGGCGACTGCGCAGCCGAGGGCGAAGACAATCCCGGCGCAGCATCGGCCATATAAAAGCTCGACGCGTCTGTGCGAAATTATTCAGTTAACTGCTGCGGGTTGGTCGAGACTACAAGCCCATCTTGATCGCAAAGTGTTGAGGAGCTATCCTAGTGCAAAATGAAATCCATGGTATGTTCGGTTCGAGCAGTGTTCTGTGTTCTTCTTGGAAGTGTTGCCTAGTTAGAGATACTTGTGCTTAAAGAACCCGATTTCCGTTTAAGTGGCTTACCAAGTAAAGAAGTAATATTAAAAAAAAGTGTGCCAGTTTTTTCACATGTTAAGTTTAGTTTAAAGAACCAATCTACTAAAATTCAAAAAACACAACAAGTTCTTTGTCAGTCTTACTGTTTAACCTTGCTGGCAGGACGAAATACTTTTGAAATTTTAAAGGCTTAAAGCTTGTTAATTTTTTAAGTATTAAGTCCCTAATAAAGGCCACGTCATTTGTAAAGTTTAAAAGAATAGAATGGCTGTCAATTGAGATCAAAAACCTGAGATAGAAAACATTTGGCACTAACTAAGCCCTACTTTTGAAAGCAAAATAGTTTGAATAAATTTATTTAAAATTGTTAAAAGTTTACACTTGGTTAATTTTATGCACTCACGTATCAATAAATTCCGATCACATAAGGGGTTGCAAATATTTCACTCCACATTACGTATACGCCGCGATGGCAATATGTTGGGAATCTAGGCCACAATTGAACTTGGCTGATTGCCCAGCCAACTGTCCAGCTTTCCAGCCATTGCATAATTGTCATATTCGAAATTATGGACTGGCGGGAGGCGAACGCGGAAGCGCGGCCATTGCATAACGCACCCGACCGACCCACCAAGCCAACCCCATTTAGGTCTCACTCCCATTTCGTGCGCTTGCCATTGCAGCTCATTTTCGGCCTTGTGGCGATGTGCGTGCTGGTGGTCAGCGCCAGCGAGGAGGCGCCCAAGAAGCCAGTGGAGGCCGCCGAGCCCGCCGAGAAGAAGCAGGAGAAGCGCGGCATCGGCCACGGTCTGGGCTACGGCTACGGACCGTCTGCCGGCGGTGCCATCCTGGGATCTGGTATCGGAGTGGCACATGCCCCCGTCGCCATCGCCGCCCCCATTGCCCACCACGCCGTCGCTGAGCTGCCCACCCAGGTGCACACCAACACCGTGATCAAGACCGTGCAGGTTCCCTATCAGGTGGAGCGTCACGTGCCCTACCCAGTTGAAAAGACCGTCACCTATCCCGTGAAGGTGCCCGTGCCACAGCCCTACCCCGTGGAGAAGATCGTCCATGTGCCCGTCAAGGAGATCGTAAAGGTGCCCGTTGAGGTGCCCCAGCCCTACCCCGTCGAGAAGGTCATCCGCATCCCGGTCAAGATCCCAGTCGACCGTCCCTACCCCGTGCACGTTGAGAAGCCCTACCCCGTGCCCGTCGAGAAGCCAGTGCCCTACACCGTTGAGAAGCGCGTGATCCACAAGGTGCCCGTGCACGTGGACCGCCCAGTGCCCTACAAGGTGGCCGTGCCAGTGCCCGTCCATGTTGAGAGCCACGTGAAGCCCGCCGTGGCCGTCACCCACACCGTTGCCGCTCCGGCCTACATTAGCCATGGCATCTCCGGTCACGGCATCTCCGGTCACGGCATCTCCGGCCACGGAATCTCCTCGTACGGAGTCTCCGGCCACGGCATCTCCTCCTACGGCGTCTCCGGCCACGGTGGCTACCTCCACAAAAAGTAGACGAATCGCAACGCTGTCGAGGGCCAATTGAGAGGTGAAGCCGGGTGAAGACGGGCGAATCAACAAGTCGGAAGTATCCAAAAAGACATCCAGCACCCCACTTTTTCCCATGCCCAGCAACCGCCAACGTACGACTTACAAATTTAGTTCTTAGTTTGTGATACCAACCGAAATTCCAAGAGGATCCCGAGCGGGAGAAGATCACTCATCTGGCGCAAATAGTTCCAGTTCCAGAAAGCTTGCCACATTCCCTCTGGGGCGCCCAGATGTTGCCTGTCCCCTCTCATTCGATGCCTCTGAGTGTACAGTGCTTTTGTAGACAATCACCGAGAAATAACTGCTGACGAGTTGCTCCCTCGACTTTTTCGTGTAAATTTCTTTTCTATGAAATGTTTGTACATATTTAAATAATGTAAATAAAAAGAAAATTAAAAAAAAAAACAACAACAAAGCGACGTGATGAATGAATAGGTCTCCAATAAATTATTTAAGGGGGGATATACATGTAAACCAAATTTTTTTGGGCAAATTTTTTTTTTCTTTAAAAAATAGTTTATTATTTAAAGAATATAGTGTATAAGTTTCATTATCGAATTCCATCTCTAAGTGCCTCAAATCAAGTATGCACGCAAGGTTCACAAGAGTTAACGTGGGCGCATCAAAAACTTTGAACGTCTTTTTCTCAGCTTCTAATTTTTGCATTTCTACCTATGCTCTGGACACGATTCACAAAAAACTATGTAACATATCGGAGTGAATCAAAAATTATTATGATCAGCATGAAATTATCTTCTATTTGAACCTACATGGTTGTTATAAAACTGAGTATTACTATTTTTTAAGAGGGTGGGAAGTGAAAACTGATTACCTGAAAATGGCATTTTTCCTTCAAATCAAAATTTATTTTTTTTGTCTTGATTTCTTTTTGGTTTTTTAGGTTCAAATAGAAGATAAAGGTGTAATGAATACAAACAAATTTAGTTTACGGATTTCGGACAGGAATTACGAGCTCTATCGTGTCCATAGCACGGCAACTCAAAGCTCGAGGCGCTACGGCATATGTTCCATAAGTCCGCCATTTTGTAAAATATTGTTTATAACTAATTTTTTTTATCATCTCTGATTCTACTTTTAACTATATCCAAAGTTTCACGACAATTGCTTGACTATTTCTTATAAAAAAAAAATTCACGAAAAATGGCCAAATTTTGACCGCTTATATGTATATCCCCCCTTAAGGGTACCTCTGGAAATCACTTCATTAAGTGTATTTTTTTATGAAACCCACTAAGGGTTTCACTGCTTAGAACTCGGTTTTTTTTCTGTTTTTATACATTTGCAGAACGATATAAATGTAATAACTGCAAAGTGAACAGCAAATATTCTCGAAAGTACTACCAATCGATGTAGTAATGACATGTTACTCCATTTTTTTTTTTGTTTCAATAGAGAAACGAGTTTCGATTTGAGTGATTCGTTAGACACAAAAGTATTTTGTTAATTACCACAGACTCTAGATTGTTTTTTATTATTGTAAAAACTGGGCCATAAAATAATTAATAAAGCCTAAAACTATGCAAACACTTTAGCATGGAGTTGGATGTCTTGAGCGTTATAAATATACTCAATATCATATTTCAAAATATATTTAAGAAACCATAAGTATAATTCGTGTCTTTTTTAATTCTTGAAAGCAAAGATTTTATATTAATCAAAAATGTAGCAAAGTGGAATACAACTTAAACCCTATTTTGCATAGAGCCCTCCATTGTTCTATTACTTAAATAAATGTTTTCAGAGGTCTTTGTTTGGTATAATTATTTTATATTGTTTAATTCTGTTTTCGTTTTCTGGATCCTATAATACCTAAAGCCTAGGTTTTATAGCCTAAAAGTATGCAAGGCTACTGAAAGTATCTCAAGCTTTTCCACATTGTAATACAAAACCACTTTAAGATAAAGCTATTTTTTTTAGATACCAAAGCTTATATTTTTTAGCCGAGCACAGATACGTAAAGGGTTGATCTCCATAAAGCACTTTTATGATTCACTTACAACATGTGGTTATGGCAATTTTCTGTATTAAAAAATTTAAACACTGTGAAGATATTTCTGACGTAGCAACCTACTCCTTTCGTTTTTTTTAAATCCTTAAAAATTTGTAAAATATTATACCAAGGAAAATATTCCTTATAAATAAGAAATGTAATATAATGAGAAACCAAATATGGTGTGTTGCGTATACATTAAATTCGGCAATTTCAAGGTAGCAACTAAAATTTAAGATACAAGATACTGAACTCTATGGTATACTCTTAAATGTAACAAATTATACCTCGAAGAGTGTCATTTAGTTTTTTAGAAGAAAAATAAAAACACAAAACCAAGATAACTTCGCTTAATTGAAGCTGTAGTGCACATTTATATAAATATAGTACTTAAAATGAGAATGACGAGTCCCACAATCTCAACAACATTTTCTATTGGATCAATTTAGAAACCTAATCTAAAAGAAATATAATTTAATATTGATTTCGTCCATGATATTTCTTCCGGAAATTATGTTAACACCGGAATACTTATCATCGGAATAATTTTTTATTTGTTTATAATATTAACTTTTATCAAACGATATTTGATCATTGAATATTGTCCTATATCTAGTCAGTCAGAATCCGATCAGAAACACTATCATCTACTTGCATTCGGAGGCTTACGGTTTCCTCTGGGACACACATAGTGACAAAAACCAAGTATCAAGTATTTAAATTTCTCTACATTAGTCATCACTGCACGCATTGTGGGTAAATGTATTCAAATAAATAAATATATATATATTAAAACTTTTCTTTTAACTTAACAGAATATAAACAAGAATACAAGATGTAATTCAAAAGATGGCATTTGCAATTGAAACAATTTTATGGAAATAAAAATCTATAGAAAAACCTTACTGAGGTGTATAAAAAACATGAATGAATATGGACCCTGAAATTCAGCTGATTCTCTCATCTTTTCATACAAATTCTCTGATTGTTCCTTTATCTGTTATGTCAGCAAATTTAAATTAAAATAATAGCTTTTTTTTAATATTAAAATATAACTACTTTTTGAAGACAATCGACTTCAGTAGACTACATTATTGTTTTTAGAGTTTTAGTTGTTAGTTTTTTTTTATACTGATTTATTGGTACAAAAGTTTTGCTGCTTTAACTTATAATCTATTATAATATTATTACTAACATTCTTTAATTGGCTATTGACCTGTTTTACTCTCTATCCATTTGATTTTCTTTCGGCATTTCAATCCATTATATTTGTTGCTGTGCAATTTCAAATGTCTAAATTTTATTATATGTATTATATTTTTTCGCGAATAAACGCAAAGCTTATCATGATTTATGGGAGCAGCAGGAAGTGTAGCAGTCAGAATTCAACAGAATAGTGAGGATTTGTACGAATATCCGGGATTCTCGAAATTTACTTGCATGGTGATGCAGATAAATAATATTTATAGTCAATGGATACATAGATGTCACATTCTGCCTTTCTGGTTACCTACAAGTTATTTAATTCTATTGATCAGATCAAACCCTAAGATGTACGAGTTCATAAGAAAAGCCAATCTCTTAATATAAAAACATTTTATATATACATATGAATTTATAAATGAATGTACATATGTAGATATAGCTTGTAACCTCATAAAGACATACATACATAGATAAAATTAATCACAACCAGAGTCGAAGGTCACCGTAGCTAGTGCTCGGTAATTTACCAATAGGTTAGGAATTTTATGCTAAGCCTAATTTTTTTAATAAATAAATAAATATTCATGTGTCCCATGCGTGCCAGACTTAAGAATGAAAACTACTTTTCCCGTACAGACTGACCATAACCCGAGACAAGTTAGTTTAATTACTAATTCTCAAACAAAAATAACTTTTTTCATATTATTGAAGCCATAAACTAATTATTTTTGCTCCCTCAAAATTGGCCACACTGAATTTTTTTTTTGGGCCCGATACCCCACTGTGCGGTTCTGCTGAACCTTATCGAGGAGACGGGAGCACTTCACACTATTAAGTAATTCAGTTATATTTTATTCGCCGACTTGATCGCATGGAAGCTGCAAAAATGTCAAGGCTTTTAATCATTTTTGTGCTCAGCTTTGCAACGCTGAAGGTGGCACATTGTGACGAAACGGAGGAGGTTCGCCATTTGTGTCACCAGTCTATGACTGTAAGCTACACAGAAGAAGTTCCCAAACCACTGAGTGAATTCGGTGACTTAGAAAAATATTTCAAAGAATTGGGAATACCCGGCGGGACTAAGACAGTGGTAAGTGCTTTGAAAAAAAATATTATTCGAGAACAATCTGAAAACATGACAATTCCAAGACCAAAACCAGGCTAGAGGAAGAGCTGGTTTGTTGCCCTGGCTATATAAAATCGGACGCAGGAGACTGTGTGTGGATTCAGACGACAACCGAGACAACAACTGAGACAACAACCGAGACAACAACTGAAGAATACTACACTTCTACCGAACTAATTGGCTCTACGGAAATGGATCAGCCTTCACAAGGCTCAGAATTTGTATCATATCTATTGTATCTCGTATTGGCAATTGGCGTTTTGATCATTTTCGGGGCTACTGTATATTTTATCCAAAAACAAAAGTCAAAAAGAGATCATATTAAAATGGAAATGGAAATGGAAAACGCTTTAATAAACATAACATAAAAAACAAGAAATAATAATTAAATATATAATATATAAAAAGTCATTCACTATTTAACAAAATCAAGAATGAAAACATTTCTGTAAAATACCTCTCTTATACATTCACAAGCTGTGTATGCATTTCACAATTGTATGAAATGCTTAATAACAATAAAATTATTTCATGTTTCTCTAAAGATAAACGCATACAAAGCTGAGCTCACTTGGGTTGATTAAGAACAAAGCCCGTTGTTTATCTTAAGCGAAGGAGAAGTTAATTGCATCATAGTTATTTATCAATGAAAATATGTCGGGGAGCCCCGTAAATGGTTTCTCATAAAGAAAATAAGGAGCTTTAATACAACTAAAGTTGAATTAAATCTTAAAGAAACCTAATCATATGCTAAATCAATCTACCAAATAAAAACTGTATCTTAAACAAACCTATCATATACTTATCTTACCAAACTGTAAATGTAAATACATGTCGTTTTACCGAAAAAATTGTTTCCATGCCAACTATTCTTTAGGGACGAGTGTTCTTGAACGTATCCATTCTGTAACGGATCTTGTAAAGCTAGAGAAGTTTTTGCCTTTGTAAAACGATGGTCTAAGGAATTTAATGATCTATATATATCTCTGGTTCAGCCCATTCTCGAATATTGTTCGTGTATATGGTCCCCTCAATGTACAAGGTATCAAGACCTTATTGAATCGGTACAGAAACAATTCCTTTTGTTTGCTCTACGGGGCTTTGATTGGGACCCACTTCGCTGCCTCCCTTTTTGTGCCGATAGACTACGCGTTTTGGAACTTTCCCTCTCTTAAGGCGCGATGTTGTTCCTTCATAAACTAAACGGACATATTTTTTCCATTCAACTTCTTAGTCAAATACGTTTCTCAGTTCCTTCAAGGCCATCACGTTACTTTCAGTCTACAGCTTTGGATATTTATTTCGAGGCACACGATCTTCCTATGTTTGCTCTACAACGACCTGTACTTTTTGTTGTATTTTGAAATGTCCTTAGATTTTAATAAAAACAATATCTTAAGACACCTGTTTGGAGCAACGGCCAGCACCTATGCGCGCGTAGGTGTACCACTGCACCTGCAGCGCTCGTCTGTTTTCTCTTTTCGTCTCTTTCTTATCTCGTCCAAGCTTTCGCGTTATCTATTCAGTCAAACTACATTTGTAAGCTCATGAGCATATGCATATACGTTGAAGCCAAGCTTTACATAGAACAGTCTGCAGCTCCAAATAAATTAACACAGGACAACAGAAATAAACACTGCTTATATTAGTCTACCCTATTCGTTCGTTATTAATAATAAACCAAAGGGTAGCATATTCGTTGTCTTCCCCATCAACAACACCTATCCTTGCCTCTGGCCACCTGATGTGAGTCGGATCATATCATTAAAAAACACTCCTTATCCGGTCAGAGGTAGGGATATAGTTTTATATTGGCAGATATTTGCTATTTCTTAATAATAAATAAATAAGCAGTCTTTAAATAATAACTCTCCTTAAGTTGGAAATTTAATGAAAATGGATTACTTTGGCAAACCGAATATTCTTCGTAACACTACATATAACATGTATTACATAAGGTCGCATTGTTTTTACAGTAGCTATACGATATAGTTATCCGATGTTATTAAAAAAATTATGTCACTAGAATAAAAAGAAACAACTAATAATGACTGATAAAATATTTCGATTTAGAAAAGAAAGATTTGTCCTATAAAACAATATATGGGTAACTCTCCAGAAACAGCAAACGAAAGTTCTAGAAAATGCGAATTTTCATTATTTTAGTGATAACAACTTTTAAAACAGAGGCATTACCATTTGACTTTTGCTTTTAAACATCACTCGAAGAATGCAAAAGTGGAAATAAAATGCTTAAATGCTTAAATCTAATTTACCTAAAAAGTAAAATCCAATATAAAAAGTAAGGTGGCAAAAATGTCGCTTGCGACAGGAATTTAAATTCAATTAAAAAAACTACCTTATTATTTTAAATCAAACCAAATACATTTTGTGTATTAATCCACGCATAATACATTCAAATTCATTGCATTAAAATCTTTCATCACGTTTCGTAGAAATCAGAGCTTAAACTTGTTTTTTGAATAAGTGAATTCTGTATGGTCGCGTCCGAATGCCTTACATTTTTGTAATTATCTTGAAAACGAACAATTGTCCAAAATTGATCTTTGAAATGTAGTAAAATTAAAATAAAGTCTTGACAAATGCTTTTTTCAGTGGAAATGCGTAAAAATGTTGCGTTCGACAACAGAGAGTTTCCTATTTAATGTGACTTTACACTAGAAGTTAGTATTACAACATTGCGTATTTTATTAAGGGATGTTTTAGTTCACTTTCGTAAGAACTGTACTTGAAAAACCATAATAAATCCTAAAATCCGCTCATTTTAATTACGCTAGTATTATTTCTACCATGTTTAAGTAGGAATCTATGAAAACACCCGACTCCCACTGTACCATAATCCCCACATAATCTCTGGAGCACTTAAGCAAAAAGCAGGTAATTTGCGAAAAGCGAAATGAAAAGTGAGAAATGATGCAACCATTATTATAGCTTATTATACTGCCCGAGAGCGGCAGCATTTATCGGGGGCAATCAACCCCAATGACGGGCAGTCCAGAAAGAGCTGATATGCGTTTCAAGTTCGCTGCTTGAGTCTTTCGTTTCGGGAGAACCTGTTGCCCGGATTGACCAACAGCAGCAACATTGATCTTGTCCTAACCCGAGAAACGCCGCCGTGGCTCGTGCTGCTCGCCTCGGCTTCGAGAGTGTGTGCCAATGGAGAATGGCGCGACCCAAAAAGCGGCAAAGTGAATGCAACACCAGCAACTAAGGCAGACACAACCAATTCAGACGCAATCAATTAGCGATATGCTGATGACGTCGACCTGCCTGATACTGTTGTTGTGATTATTGTTGTTGTCGCTTTGTTGTATTGTGTGCGGAGTGCGGCAGGCACATGTGGCGCGATTGCATCATGGCGCCATGCAAACCGCCTAACGGTAATTGACTTGCAATTTCTTTTGCGCGCAACTTTTCGGTTGCAAAGAAATTTTCCAAACTCGAATGTGTGTTGCAACATTTCGACAATCCAACAAAGCCAAATGAGCGTCAGCCAGAAAAATGGAGAGCCAAAAAGTATATGGAAGCCAGTATGGGTAATTTTTTGACATTAATCGTGGAGCTGATTTTTAAATCTATGCCAGTTTGCAATGAAACTCGCGAAATGAAAGTAAAAATATCTTAAATTATGCTAGATTAAGTTGTTAATTTAATATGTGCTATTTTTGTGAGAATTTCCTTTGATTTCAGAAGATATGAAAGCATATATTAAATAGTTCTGTAAGATCTTGTTTAAAAGGATCACTACCTTGAAGATCCTACTACTGACTACTCACTACTTTACACTTTTTATTCCGCTAAAACCCACTGTATTTAATTTTGAATTGTTTATTATTCGACTGATTTTTACGACCTATATTTGTTATATGAGATTTTTTACTAACTTTAAGTCTGTCGGTTGCTGTAATCAAAATAAATGCCAAAACATGGTACAGTAGAATCTATAATATTATTCATAATCATATTTTATTTTTAACTTTCAAAGTGTTCAGTCTTCAGTTTTCCTGTGCATTACATTTCTTGTTCGGAAGTGGTTTTCTCAATACATTTGCAGCTTTAAATGCGCTTTTGCATGCCACGAAAAAATATAGGAAAGCCTTAAGTACATCTTGATTGATGCGGTAATTATCGTTGCTAATTTTGTTTAAATATAAGCATATTTTTTCCCAATTTGCCAAATATTGTATATATCCCAGCGCTTCTTTTGTGAATATTTTCCATGCTCTTTTGTGTTTTATGCGCTACAGCCGATTGCTCAATACTCGTATTTTTGTTTTATTGCTGTATTTTTGTTCATTTACAGTCATTTAAGTGCTGCCTAATTACGCTCCGCTCTATATTTTTAGACTTAACGAGGTGTGCAGAAGAAGTTACAGTAGGAAATATGAACTTTGGTTTCAAATATATTAATTTAATAATGTAATTTAAAAACTGGTTCACAGAAAAGTGTATTATTAAGTAAAAGCACTTAAATACTGTATTTCTTAAAATGTCTATGGTTATTAACGTTGACTACGATCTCCTAGTGAGCCAATGGAAAGACAATGTAAAGTAGCACTTGAAATTTTATATAATTTCTAAATAAAAACAAATATGATAATGAAAAGATGATTTCGATAGTAATTTTCGACTATTGAAGGATAGGATATTTTTAAATCCAACTTAATATTTTGTGTGTTCAAAGTTTAACTCATCCTTAAAACGTCATAATAAAGCTATTATTTTCAACACAAAATCAAACCTCTTGAGCACCCCTCGGGCTCCCATCTACACTCGCACCAACTAACTGCGGCTTTGCCTCAGTGCGGATCAGAAGGCAGGAAAGCAAAGAGCTGCCAAAAACAGATTTACCAAATGTAAAACGAAAATGCCGACAAGAAACGAGGCAGCTTGAATGTCTACCAACTACCCTGGGCTGCGCTGTAGCATAATGTTTATTCAATTTACGCAATTTACACCAAAAACAAGAGCTCGGCATTTGATTGCCAACTTCGCTTTGGACTTTGGGTGTTGTTGTAATTATGGCCGCAAAAACAGAGGGGCATTGTAGCCGAGAGACTGAAATAAAATTAAAGTCTATATTTAAAATATTTTCTGCCGAAGAAGTGACGACAGCCAGCGGATTTTCCTCACAACGTTTCGCAATCCGTTCGCAGGCAATGCGAAATTTGTTGACTAAGTCAATGGGTCAACAGCTGTCCGCCACAAACTTGGCTGGCCCAAGGCGGAATTATTATGCTAATAAATGGTTTTCCTCCGACTGGTCTTTCAGGCTTTCCCGACCGACCGGTAAATGTGCATAAATTCGCAGGTGGGTCGCAGGCTCAGCGTCGCCTCCACTTCCTTATTAATCAGTTTAGCTTTATGCCGTCACTGCCCGCCGAAAAAAGGGGACCCCAAGCCGCAAACCTGATTAAGTGAACGTCATGGTTAACTGTACATGAGTAAGAGATTTGCATACTTGTGTTTTTCTTAGCCTTAATTGAGCGCAGCCAAAGCGTTCGACGGCGCGTGACAATGTGACCGAATCGCGGGTAAATGCCTAGCCGACTTCCCTCCAAAACGAAAGAAGACATAAACACCACACGCCACAAACAAGAGCCAAGAGTTCAAATGCTTTTGCCATTGACCCCATTTCCGTGCTCGTTGTTTCTGAGTGTTATTTTGCCGATCGGTTCAGAGATGCGTTAACCCGAGATTGTAAACCCTGATTGAGCTCTAATTGCAACGATCATTGTGTGGAAATAGAGAGCTGATCGCCACTAGCTGATTGTGAGGGAAGTGATTGCAGTAGGGCAAGTTCATCGGAATGGGCTATAACCCAAATAAATAACAGATCATGCCGATATTGAAAGCTGTGCTTGTCTGATGAACATTTTGGGCGGCGAAGCTGTGCGTTGGCATTGACTTTGGGGGGTTTTCCTGCTAATCGAATTGAAGATCAAGGAGATTTACTTTCTGATTTTACTTATTAATATTATTATGGGATATGTTAACGTTAAATGGTTCCCTCTTACTTTAGTTCTTAACCAAACTTAACTATTTGTTAATGCATCATTTGATTATTTTATCTGAATATGATATTGAAGTATTCAAAGGCTTTTCTTTTCTTTTTAAACCTAAAACATTTTTGTGTAATTTGCTTGTGATAATGTCACATAGAAACTATTGCAACTATTACAAAACTTGTCATGGGTGTGACAAGTTTTGTAATAGTTGCAATAGTTTCTATGTGACATTATCACAAGCAAATTACCGCCGCAATCGAGCCAACTTTTCAGTCAGCTGGGTAACAAGCCCAAGAAACGACCTTGACCAGCAATGCATTGAACCCTGCGGTTGGTTGGATGTGCCCCATCCGAAATGGCGGTAAACAAGACGCGAAACGGTGAACGACTCGAAGCCCCAAAACAGTTATACGCCTTGGCAGGTGGCGACCACAACCGAGACGGGTGACAAGGGGCTGAATGAGGCTTTTGTAAGCGGCGCATAAAATGTCATAACTGTCAGCTTCGCCTGCATGGCTAACAGCTCTATATATTGTTGGAACTCGTCCAAGATTTAAGACACCACAATTGGTGCCCAACAAACGGCCAATTGGGAACGGGGCGGCATGGCATGGAATGGATGGAAGTGGAATACCCGAGCCAAGAAGACAATTTATTGTTAAACAAATCAGGCAGCGAATGGAAATCAAAGTCAGTGGCTTCTATGGATGATCAATCGGCCGCTGGTTCAACTCTGACACCTTTGTTGACAAATAAAGCCGCCCCGCAGCCCCGGGGGATGAATGAATTTATGTAAAGCTTACTTTATCGCCAAATGCGGCAAGGTCAGGGCGCAGACAATGCGAACAAACGAGCTGCAGCCTGAATATCGCCACAGAGTGGCTAAGCCTCAATCGAAAGATGATTTTCAAAGGCGTCGAGCCACAATGGCCACAATGGGAGGCGGGCGGCGGGAGAGTCAGCCGCATATATGCATATGTGGCGCATATGGTAATTAAGTCAAGGAAGTAAATTGCACTTCAGCTCACGATTATGATCGGGCAAAGACAATGTACTCGAAACCATCTCTCCGGCGGTAGGCGTGCTCTCCAGCAGCCAGTATGACATAATCCCCAGTCAGTTGGAGCTGGAGCTGGAGCTGAGCGGGAGCGTCTAACGGCTGCCTCCGCCCTGGCGCCCCCTCTTTCTTCTGCAGAAGGCCAAAAGGCCTCGCTTTCCGTCGGTTGTGGAAAATGTGAATCGAACAATGTGGTCAAGACATGCAACAAACGCGAATTGAAACGAAATCGAAAGTTGCATGCATGCAACGAAAGCGAGAAAATATTTGCTATCGTAACGAGTCTGGGATTATAAGGTGCCGAACATGTTTGTAAAGGTCCTGCAGTTGCTCAAAAATATTTATAAATCATGTCGATATGAAAGCCTTGTTTCATCAGATTCATTAAATGTAACATTTGCTTATTCCTTTCTTAGTTTCTGTACCAGTTTTGGTCACCTTATGATTTTATTTTTTAGTCATGAAGTAAAAAAAAATACTACCGATATGTTACGCACCTTAAACTTGTATTCAGACTTTAAGTGTGATTTATTTTTGATATATGTACAAGTATAGTGTACTCGATATGTGTGCCAAACCACAGCTGACTGAAGACCCATTGACATAATAACGAGGAAGGTAATCGGACTCAAACCAGACCCCGCCTCGGCCTGATACCACTGGGACTGGTGGTGCTACTGGCGATGGAGCCGGTGGCGGTATTAATTACCCAGCAATCGGAGTGGAATCGAGCGAGTGGAGTGGAGTGGCCCAACTGTTATTGCCTTTGTCTTAGGTTATGGTTGGTGACCGACCACTGCGTATGTGGAGCAGTGACACAACCGAATGACCAACTGACACACTCTCCTGGCGCACTCGGACCTGTCTGGGATCGGTTGAGTGACATAATGGCATAATGTGAAGGCGAAAGCAAAAGGATATAGTCACTTGGCGTTAAGCAAGAGGTAGTGCTACTCAAAAGGGGATTAAGAAAAGAGTGGGTGTCAACTTAGAGGAAAGGAGGAATAGTTAATATGTTTAATATTTGACATTTCCTCTACTATAAGTAGATTCATAAAATACTTCTATTTATGTATGAAACTGTACAATTACATATTAAGCTAATAAGTAAATGGTTTATTTTTCTTATTCTTTGTCTTAATGAAAGTCCCCCTCTAAATACCCATCTTTATAATGGTAATCAATCAATCAAAACAATCGCAGCGCAGGACAATCTCTCAATCACCGAAGGCAGCCTAGAAACAAGTACACATAATCATTTGTGATTACCATAAAAATAACATTGAAATGAAGACCGGCAACAAAGCAAACAGCTCATCACTTGAAGTGGCCCGAAGGCGGCTCATCCAATCGGGTATTATTCAATTACCAGCCCCCAAATTGTGGTGCCTGCTGCTGATGTTGCCGCTGTGGTTTCTCAAGCCTTTTACGTCCACTGACTTGCAGCGGCAACAAGAAGCGAAAAGCGGCAGCTGACGGTAGTCGAATTAAACAGCAAAATGGCACGCATCCATAGACCCTCGTCGGGCCCCGGCCATTCGCGGAGACTCCTCTTGATATTGCAATCTTATTTCTGCTTTAATACCCCTCCAGGGAGAGTTTTACGACTTTTAAGAGTCTTTTGCAATGCCCATTTAAGTACTCAATAAATACTGTTAATTGTTAATACAAAAATAATTAAGAGGAACTTTTGCCAGCACTTGTCACTTAAAGTGACCTAAATTGTTTAATGAAACAATTACAGGGAAATAACTTATATTACAACCATTTTTTTAAGTACAGAGTTTCTATATTTTATTAAAAGTTGTAAAAATTAAATTTAAAATAGGCAGTTTGTGGGAGCCATAACCATTTTATTGTTTAGCTGTAAGTGTTAACCAAGTGCTCAAATGAGTTTTAAAGCTGGATTTAGAATTTATGTTAATTTCATATCTCTTAAAATATATAAAAATAATTTTCAAAACAAGGTTTAGTCCTTAGACATACACTTAAGCTTATAAGTTTAATCTCTGCCTAATATCCTTTTAATTCAATTCAATTGAAGCTGAACATGTTAAGATTTCATTATTGCTAAAGGGTATATAGAGACTGGCCTTTTTGCTGTGAATACCGTTCTTGCTTTTCTTTTTTTTTTCTGCGCTGATGGTGGCGCTGCATTTGGCGCTTGGCTGCGTCGACTTCGCGCCTCCGAAAGCCAGCGGAGGCAGTGGACCACCGAAGGCAGGGAATGCGGCAGGAGGGAAGCTCACGAAAATCACACCGCCGCTCACCATTCGCTGCGCCGCATGTGTTTTGGGCTATTGCGATTGTTATTACTGCCGCCGATCCGATCCGATCCGACCTGGTCTTCGGCTTGGCTTGGCTTGGCTTGATGGTCGCGCATTCGCTTCGTGCATCCATTCATTCGGCGTGGAACTATAAAAGTGCGCGCAGGCGCTGCAGTTGGCATCATTAAACCGTTAACCGTCGAACAGTCTACAGCCCAGTGTGTACGGAACGTGTTAACCAGTGATCAATAGTAATCCCTCGACCAAACGGGATCAGTTCTGACTCAGCTGACTCACGACTAGGGAAAGCGGATTTCCATTCCCGTCCATCGAAGGATTAACGCAGCAGCATGAAGTGGATGGTACGTATCCGAGGGCAGGACAAGACAGTGAAGTGAACCAGTGGCCAAGGGATTCGAGAATATCCCAGTTCGGAAAAAATGGTTATCATTTTGGACTTACAAAATTGCAAGATCAATAGATCTGAAAGCGATCATAGCTGCAGTGATATAAAGTCTTGGTACATTTGCCAGAATGTAAAAGGAGGAAATGAAAATCACATTTAATTGAAAAAATAAATACAATTTCCATAATTGATTATGAAAGTTGGACGAAGATAATGTCTCATTAAAATATCTGTAACAGTACTGATATTATTGCTAAAAACTCTATAAGTTCAATATTATTCTTGTTTCAAATATCTTCTCTTTCTAAGATAATCCCCCATCTAATTACCCCTTCTCTAATTCACAGCGCACAGCGACATCGCTGGCCCTGGTTGTACTCCTGGCCAGCAGCTACGTCCAGGCGGAGGCCGAGAAAGCCGCCGTGGAGGAGAAGAAGGCTGAGCCCGAGGCCAAGCCCGCGGAGGCTGCGGCCAGTGAGGACACCACCAAGTCGAAGAGAGGACTGCACCACTACGAGGACTACCACCACCACCATGTGCCCCACTTCCCGGTGCACGAGGAGAAGACACTGACCGTTATCAAGAAGGTCCCCGTGCCCGTGCCCATCGAGAAGATCGTGCACGTGCCGGTGGAGAAGCACATCCATGTGCCCGTTAAGGTCAAAGTGCCCAAGCCGTATCCGGTCGTCAAGCATATCCCCTATGAGGTTAAGGAGATAGTGAAGGTTCCGTACGAGGTGCCAGCTCCATACCCCGTCGAAAAGAAGGTTCACTACCCCGTCCATGTGCACTACGATCGCCCCGTGCCCGTGAAGGTGGGTTTGGGAGTCACAGAAGCAAGCCAACTAGGGTCTTAACTTGTTAACTTCTTTGTTGTAGGTTCATGTGCCCGCTCCTTATCCAGTTGAAAAGAAGGTCCATGTGCCCGTGAAGGTCCATGTTCCCGCCCCCTACCCCGTGGAGAAGGTGGTCCACTACAATGTGGAGAAGCACGTGCATGTAGACAAGCCCTACCCCGTGGAGAAGGTTGTCCACTACCCCGTCAAGGTGCCCGTCGAGAAGCCAGTGCCCCACTACATTGACAAGCCAGTTCCGCACTACGTGGACAAGCCAGTGGCCGTGCCCGTGATCAAGAAGGTGCCGGTGCCCGTCCATGTCCCGTATGATCGCCCCGTGCCCGTGCATGTCGAGAAGCCAGTGCCGTATGAGGTCAAGGTCCATGTGCCCGCCCCCTATCCAGTCATCAAGGAGGTGCCTGTGAAGGTGGAGAAACACGTTCCGTACCCAGTCAAGATCCCCGTCGAGAAGCCCGTCCACGTTCACATCGAGAAGCACGTCCCCGAGTACCACGAGAAGCACGTCAGCTACAAGGAGCCGGAGTTTGTCCACAAGCACATCGAGGAGGACCACCATCACGCCCCCATCCATCATCATCACTCGCACCCCATCGTGGAGCATGAGCACGAGGTGGAGCATGATTTTGCCTCTCATGATTATCATTCATATCACGGCTACTAAACGGTGAATGAATTCTCTTTCTCTCTTTTCCGCCTCTTTCGCTTTTCTTTGCAGCATTGAGAATGAACGGGATGGCTAGCTAAACTCCTCCATTTCCTCTATATTTCCCAAAAAGCAACCAAACACTGAGTTACCATAACCATAGCCACACTCATAACCACAACCATAACCATAGACCATTGACCATAGACCATTCCCCTCACTCCGAGCACTCCATTTCATACCGTCCCCGGAAAACATTGCTATGCAGAACGTGATAAACGACAGAGATTCAGAGAACCAGACGAGAAACAGACCAACTTAGCTTTTAGACCGAACTCTCTTCTAGCCGTAAGCCATAAGACACAAAAGGAAACCCTGAAACGTTGACAAGACCCGTGAGCAATGTGAACGAGTGAATTGTAAAGGAACTTTAGATTTAGACCTTCAAAGCGACACATTTGGGCCGCACAGGCCACACAACGAGAACGATAACGAGAACTGTAACTAGAACAAGATCAAGATCTAGAAAGAACACCAGCCCACTCCCTCCCCTCCAAGACACTCGATCGGACACACACACACAGTTGCAAGATCCCAGGATCCCAGGCTTGTTGTGCTGCGAAGACGATGTGGATTGTTGGCCGATGGATTCGACACCGCCTGGGTGCATCATCGACGTGGTTGCCGCTGCTGTTTTGTCCTCCAGCCGCGGCTCCTCCCTCTTCTGCTCTGGCCCGCCCGACTCGTGCACCCGGTCCGGTTCCCAAGTGAGATCGGTCGGTCCCAGGACCGATCGGCCCAGTTGTGTGCAGCGTCCCAGCGTTGTGAGCGTGTGATAAGACTTCTGATAGCGTTTAAGCTCGTGCGATATTCGATATTCGAGATAGGAGACCCCTATTTAAGTCAGTTTGTAAACGAACGTATTGTATTAGTTTTTGTAATGTTCTCCGCTACCTAGTTTGTAATATGTCTATGTAATTTTGCTTGTTCTTAGAAGCAAACGAAACGGATTTATAAAAAGTACTTAATTTACCAAATATTTTTTGACTCTGTATAAAAGCTAACAAAAAAAATCTCATACAAAATGAAGCTGATGAATGATATACAATCAAATATATGAAAAAACAAGTGATCAAAACGAACATTTTATCGATTTTTATTATTCTATATATTTATTTAAAAACATCTCCAATTATATCGCAAAAGATATACTTGAAGGCAAAACGTTTACACTTAGCTATTGATGCCTTAGATCTTATGATCTTGATTGATCCTTCTACAAGGATTATAAGCCATAATGGTCCCAGTTTATTAGCCGAAAATTCCTGGATCCCATGATCAAAATAAAGCAATCCAAAAAGTATTTGTCTTGTACAACCTTAGTAAATTAAACTATTTGACCGATAGGTTGGTTTTTTTACATATTTATTGATACCCGACTTTTGAACCTACAATCTATGAGTTCTATTTCAACTTCTCAGATGTACATATTCAAAGAATGTGGTTGTTTAATTCACAGCATTTAAGTTTTTAAATACTATGTACTGTATTTACAGAAGAAGTCGAGGAACTCTACAACGAAACTTTTCCATTAATCTGACCATAATATTCCTCATTTGTTATTATCCAATTTTGGCTATCCTTTCATGGGACAAATCCACTTTCGCTTCGCGTTTAAATCAAATATGGGCACGACAGACGAGGAGGGCGAAGAGATAGATCAAGTCATTCCTCAATTGCCCATAAATGTCTTATCTAATTTTCAAATGAGGTAAACATCGCCTTGCATTCATAATTGCATATTCAAAGTGTCTCGCCCACGGAGAGACAGCCCGAAAGGGGGCGGAGACAGTTCAACATGTTTATTACATTTTCCACACCATCACTTTGCCTTCCATGAGCCCCCGCTCCAGCTCCAGCTCCAGCCTGACTCTAGCTTTAAGCACTCGTGGCCATTTCCTAGCGTTTATTTTGCGGTGTGGGCATTGCTTTTTATTAGCACCCGCGAGGGGTATGGTTTTTTGGTCGAAGCTCCGGCTTGGGTCTTTGCACTCCTTTTTTTTCTTGGCTTTTGCGGCTGCCTGCTTGTTGCATCGACCACAAAGATTGGGTTTCAATTTGCATTTTCGGCTCCATTGAAGCCGCTGCAATTTCAGACTGGGTTAAGTAAAGTGGGCCACGGATTTATCACGTTTTTCCCCAGTCGGTTTGTAGGACATGTGCCGCTAACCGATATTTGAGTCCGAGCCCCGTCGAGTCGCGAGCTGAGACCCAGCTCGCTTTTATTACCATATTGGGGCTAACTCTCTCGGTGGCCAGTTGTTACTGGTAGCTTTGTTTATGTAACTGTAACTGTAACTGTAGCGCTTGCAGTTTATTGATTATGCAATAAATAATAGCCAGCACAATGCCCGGACTGGCGTTGTTATCCTCCATCCTCGTGGCCCCCTCTCTCCTCGCAGAGTGTGTGGCTAATGCCAAAAGAATGGCTGCAATAAAAATCTGGCTAATGGCTCTAATGGAGAACTGAGCTTACACTTCATTATTTCAACAATATTAGAGGGGAAACAGTCTACTCTTAAGAAAATATTTAGTAGAGGCTACTATATGTATGTATCTATTTTTTACAAGACTGTATTTTATATCCTACTCGTTTTGGGTTTGGTAATCACATTTACTGTACAAAAAATAGTTTAGGTTTTTATTCTTTTTAGAACATATTAACTCAAACTATATATCTAAAATATATAGTAGTAGTAGTAGTTAGTAGTAGTTATTCATTTCCAGGCTGAAGGAGGGCGCATAAAGTGTACATATTCATAATCAGCATTGTTTTTTTTTTTAATATTTTAACAAACTCATGTGTGCTGCTCAACATCTTTCGTCATCATTTTACATTTTCTGTCAGTTTTGGCATTTCAACTTTTAATTGTTTCCTATATTTATTAAATTTTTTTAAAAGTTAATGATCTTCTTAAGGCAATTTTCTTTAGTGAAGTGAAGCCACAATAAGCGAATTTAAAATATAAAAGCTTGAAATTTATTTGTGTTATAATTATTACCATTTTATTTTCCACCAACTCACATATAAAATTATTTATGTTAAGCATTTCAAAACGCTTGGCTAATGTGAAACCTCAGAATACGATAAATAAGCAACAGCGGATCTGAGTTTAGTTTACATCTAAAGACGCCACCTCTAATTCTATTTAATAATAATATTTGGGTGAAGAAAAGAAATCCAAGACTGGAAATATATATAGTTTACTGGGTCAGTCGTTCAAATCAAGTCAGTCTAGACTGCGCAGCAAAATTCGGTTGCTGTCTGGATTTTCGTAACAGTTTTTCGCCCGGGCTTATTTAAATGATGGCCAACTAAACCCGCTTCGCCCGGTGGCAGCAGCCATGTGGAAAGTGAATGCGGGAAACGCTACCGACATGTGGGTTTTCAGTTTCATTTCATTTTCTTTTCCACAGAGTCAGAGCTTGCTGAATATATGTGTGTGTGTGTGTCTTGGCCATTATGTGATGTTAGTGGGGCAGCTTTATGGCCGGTTCGACGATCCCCGCGATCGCGACGCGTAATCGCCGGCAATTTGACGGAAAATATTTGAAATCGTGTGTAAATTGTAATCCGAAATTGCAAAATTAATAACATGCCGCAGCTTTGGGTTTTAATTGCCACGGTTATGTAGTAAATTGTATAATCAATTGATAAAAATCACTTAATTAAGAACTTTTCAATGACTTACTTGATATAGGGAATATTGGCTGGTATGTGATACTTGGCCCCCATGTCAAAATCCTTTTCAGAGCGTAAAACTGGAGGCTTTATGCCCGAGTATTTTTCCCTGAAAGTGGTACAATTAGAAGAAAATATTATTATAAACCAGACATTTCATACTCCCTTATACTTACCGCAAATTCCAGTAATGACAATTCATGGTTCGCTTATTTGCATTGCCACTGAAGACATCATAACGCCAATTGTCCAGGGACAGAGCAAAGGGCAGAAAGGCAACCTTGAAGAATCAAGAAAACCAAAACGTGAGAAGGCTATTTATTATAATTTATTTATATTAAAAAACAGAATCAAGCAGAATGGAATGGCAAGAAGAAGGACCTGGAAGGACGGACTACCCATACCTTCTTAATGTTTTCTAATAGCATTTCTACTTAGTTGGGTATTGGATCTTTTGCCACTTAATAATTATATCCTCTTACCATCGAGTACCCATTAAAAAAAGGATGACAATTCCAAATCATAAGAGAATGCATGAAGTTAAGATCTTAGTTAAAATTTAAGCTTAGCTAACGATCTAACTTTGCAACTAAGTAACCAAAAACTTTGGCTAGCCTTCGGATATTACATAATTTATTACGAACCTTATCGATCGCCATGGTAAAAAGATAGTTAATATCAAAGCTGGACTCGTCAAGGGACCTCTGAAGTAATCCCAGGGTTTGCAAGTGTCTGGGAGTGGACACCGACAGACCAATGGCATCGCCCACAGCCTGGTGGAAGGCGGGATTGGCGCCGTTCCTGAAGATCTTGGGCAGGTGACGGTACTGCAAAAAGTACTGAATGTGGGCCATCTCGTGGTGCACACTGATCAAGCTTCGCTGGTTGATATCGGCGCAGATCTTCACCCGAAAGTCATGGCGATTACAGAAATCCCAGGCGGAGGGCTCACAGAGAACTCTCCTGTCCAAGGGCTGCTCGAATATGGAGCTGCGATAGAACTCTGGACCTACGGCGGACATGTTAATGGAGGTGAAGAATTCCTCGGCGAGCTGGAACATCAGCAGCGGAGTGTATCCCTGCTCCACCATGCGCGGCGTGACATCGATGAGCTTGCGCCCCGGGTAGGGTATCAGAATGTCCAAAACATTCGACCAAGACTGGCCGTACATGTTGCCCAGGATGTGCGAGGGAATCGGGGCAATGCGGTTGATGCGGTCCGGCCCATAGTAGTCCCTCAGCTTGCGTCGGACATACGAGTGCAGACTCTCGTAAAGCGGCCGAATCTGCTCCCAAACAATGTCCATGTCCTGCCGGAAGTTACCGGACTCATAGGCCAGATACCAGTACTCCCCTCCGTTGGTGACATCTGCAAAGAAAGTGACTTTATTGGACCACAACTCCGGACATTCCTTCGTCTGCTCACTGTTCACACTGGCCACGTCCTGCATGACGTCGATCAGCTGCTCGTAGCTGTCGCGCATTCCCCGGCCCGCCTTCCTGTGGTACTCCACCCACGTGTGCTGCAGCTCATCCCAGTCCCTGCTCTTGGCCATGATGTCCTTCAGGTGTGGTATGTAGTGGAGGTCGCACTGGAAGGGCTGCTGGTAAGCGCAAATTCCGGCGCTGTTGTACAGAAACAGCATCTCGTTCAGCAGTCGGTTGTACTGTGGTAAAGGTTTTTTTTAACTGTTAATTATACAAGGGACCAAGCACCTTACCCTATCCAATACATCCAAAGGCAAGGCATTTGGCCCCACCTCGGACTGCAGCATGAGTTGTCGGTAGAGGCGGCGGTCAAAGATGAGATCCTTGTTAATCCGCTTGGATTGTTCAGCCGTGATGCGCTGGAACTCTACATAACGCTGTTGAGCATTAAGCTGGAGGGATAAAACAAAATGTATCAGTTTTACTAACGATATCTCTAAAAAAATTACAAATATAAAATATATATTTCATTTTTAATTTAGGGTGCCATAGTGCTTTTCTGTTTTCAATGTCTTTTATATTCGGAAATTATTTGGTAAGTCCAGGAAAAATAGCACAAGAATTATCAATAGGTTTATAGAAACCTTTTTAAAAATATATTTTAAATAATTATGCCAAAGAAAGGTTATAATCGCTTATTATTATTATACTTAGTATTTCCACCACTTTGATTTTTCAACTATAATTCGAAGGGATTTAGCTATTTAAATGAGAAATAATTCAGTTTTTAAAAATAAGCTCAAATGTCTTTTTATAAATACAAGCTAAACTTGAAAAGCATTACAATTACGTAAAATATTTAAAACCTATCTGAAAAACTCAGTTATATGATCTAAAAAATAGATCTTATTACAAAACCTAATCAAGGATTTTGGATAGTAATAATATTTATTAATAAGTTCTGAAGCTAATATGGGTTTTGGATCGTAATTCATTTTTATTTATAAGTTATGAAAGTAATATAAAAAGCAAATTAAAAATTTTGTTTCTTAAAAAATAACAATTTCCCTGCCTTAAACCGCTATACTGCATTACGTTTTTAAAGAAACAAAAACAGGTAAAAGAGCTACAGTCAATCGATTGTAAAATTCCCGGTTCTGATCTTCCCAATACCCAAAATAATTACTCCAAAGGACCTATTATAATATTCCAGAATGAATGGAGAAATACCTAAACTTATTGAACTCAAACCTTACCTTGCTTCTCTCCAATCCTACAACGAGCAAGCTCCTTAAACTTCACAATTTTCTTTAAAAAACAAACCTCCTATACCTTTTATAAAATAGGATCAATATTTAAGATAACATGAATTTAAGCAAAAATCAAAACTTATACGTAAAGAGAAAGACTTTGAATTACAATATTTGTTTAAATAGAATAATAAGAATCAAACCTCATAGATTTTAAGAGAAAACTTTGAATGAAATCTCTAAATCCAGTCAGCCTAAAGTCTAAGTAGCTATGGCTGCCCCCATCTGTAGCTTTAGTTTATAACTTTAAGCAAACAAAATGTAAATAAATAAATAATTTTGCTAAAAACCGTGGTTCGAGAATGAAGATATTAATGGAAGATAGAAAGAGCTTTGGGAAGGGATTAAAATACATTTTTTTGTGTAATAACTCGTATGTTCATCATCTGATGTTTACCAAATTTTCCAATAACTTTCACACTGGTCTTTTTACTCGTAATTGTAATACACCATATAAATATTGTCACTAATATGTAGCATCAGCTCTTACAGTATCTGAGATCTGTGTTTCCATTTATGTACATCTGATCGTCCGATTAACAGACGTAAATGGCCTAAATTTACTTGACTGGTAATATCAATCCAGAATACATATACGAGGTCGGAGATGCCTCCCGCCTGTTACATCTTACATGTTCGGTTGTCTTATTTATGCTGGTTTAGCTTTGACAGTCAAAACTATCTATGTACACTCATATCTGTACCCTCAGCTCTTTGACATTGGCTTGTCTGCCTGGGAATCTGACAAAGCCATTCGACCTTGTGAATGCGACTTTTGGGACCTGTCCGAGTGTGCATGTGTAGGAAAACCTATAGTGTGTGCTATGAGAAAACTCCATCACCACCGCAGAGATCGCGTGCCGTTCAACCACAATTACGCGTACAAGTACAAGTACTTGGCGCTCCGCTCACTCACCGCTTCCGTTTGGGTAAAATCGTTGACGTTCGTCTCGAAATTCCACTGGGCGGCCACATTGGCGGTGCATTCCAAGGAGCCTTTCTGATCGGACTCCACGAGCAGGTTGCGCAGCTTTTCCAGTTCCTGTTGGTAGCGACGATCCTGCTGGTAACGCTGGCGTTCCAGATATCCTTGGTTCAGGTTGAACCGATCCTGGTTCGAGAGGTAGGGGTTCTCGAAGCGATTGCGGTTGTTGATGCCCAAGATCTCCACATTGGGATTATTGTTGTAGTTGTACTGATCGTTGGGGTTGTAATTTCGCTCTCCTTGCGTGGAGATGGGACCATCGGCGAAGCGTCCGTTCAGGCTGGGATCGTTGCCGTAGCTGCGATCGGTTGAGCTGGAGACCGAAGGTCCGTAGTTGTGGTTGGAAAACCGATCCCCGCTGAAGGGCGAGTCACTGAAGTTCACGCGCGGCGAGGGATAGGCATAGCCGAGTCTCATGCGTTCGTCACTAGTCTGACCGTACTGCAAGCGAAAGTTCGAAGGGTTAGGTTGGTTTAGCATCATAATGTAGAGAATCTTCATTAAACATTATATATTTTTAAAGTAGAAAATGTTAGACCCTTTACTCTTTTAACTTTGTTTATATTAAACCATCCATTACCTATACATTATTTCTTATTCGTTAATCATTACAGATAACTTAACCCACCCTAAAGTCGTCCAGCCCGTCGTCGGTGTTGCCACCTCCCCCGGCATCGGCGTAGGGCGGACCGTAGCGCTGATCCCGATCCCGGTCCGCCCGCAACTGGGCGGGCGTGGTGGCCACGTTCGGGGTGTAGCCGTTGTAGAACACTTCTGGCTGCGGGGTGGGTAAATTCAGCTGGGGATTGGCCTGGCTCAGAGTCAGGCTAAGGCCGAGACAGAGCCAGGTTAAGACCGAAACACTGGGCATTATTTTTATCTTAAGATCTATATTCCACACTGCCAAGGTCGCCACTGACAGCTCACTTATTAACTCTTTCACAAGCAATTAAATACTTTAATTGCAGGCCACTGGCAGTATGATTGGCAGACTAGAGTCTGCTGATATTTCGCGATATATCCTATATACTAGCTTTGATCACTCCGAGAGCTTCACTTTCACTTGACACTCGAACTCGTTACTTTCTCTGATCCACTGTACCGCCCACGTAGCGTCCGGCAGCGCGTCTAAAACTCTACTGACTAGACAGTAAGAATATTTTTCGAGATTACTTGCCACTTTTTTTTCAACTCGAAAATGAATTCAAATTTGAACGCAGCCGCGTCGCAGTTGCAGTTGACGTCTCTGCCGGCGCTTTTGTCTCTGATGTCTCTCTACATACAGTATGTTTGTGCAAATGTACATATATTCGTGTGAGATAATCGCAATTAGCACTGGGACGACAACAACAACCACAACAACAATCGAATCTTCCATAAGCTTGGGAACAACAATGAGGTGGAGCTGCAATTGTGTGGGTGAGCCGTATTTATGTAAATCGTTTTTGCATGCATGTCGGCAATTATAAGGGAGGGTAAGGGTGCCCCGCACACAGGTGCATGCCCCACGTCCGTGTGGTTATCGGCCAAAAAGCTCGACCGCATAATAATGGTGACTGTGAGAAAGTACGCGACAGTTGAGTGGGCTGCCTCAGGTCGGAACTCACTCGAAACGAGCCAGAAGTTGGCATACTGCCGGAGTTATCACTCAGTCGGAGTTTTAAAGTTAAAGTCCTCGGACATTAAAAGATTCAAAGCTAAGAAGACAAAACCTGAAGGCATCCTAGACTATACAAGAACCATAAAAAATTAAAAATGTAATTAATTTGCTTAGGCTATAGTACTGGTATATCTTTCTTTATATAACTTCAAGTTGATTTAGGCTAAGACCTGGCTCAGGCTCTCTGGACGTGTTCTTCAAAATCATCTTCTGTTAACAGAATTCAGAAACTAATTAAATTTAATGACTATACGTCATACTCATAGAAATAATATGGATGTTACGAAGTTGTATTATTGTAAAGTCAACCATATACTAAACTCTGCCCTCGGCTACATCTCTCGTGCTCATGCGTTCCACACCACCCATGCAGCACCCGCATCGAGTCGCTTTTATTGTCGCTCTTGACCCAGAGAAATGTGGAAAACATCTTGACTCATGCCGCAGACCGCCAAGCAGTTGTAGTTAATGGAGTTTGCAACGAATGCATTCCACCTGAGACTCGACCTAGCGGCAAAAGCAAAACACAATTTTTTACAGCCTCTAGTAGTCAGAAACAAATGAGTTCCCCTGTATTAGTTCCACTGCCAATAAAACTAATGGCTTAAGAACATGTGTAAGCAGATGAGAGTGCATTAAAGTTAATCTAACGAAAAGTAGCTTGGAATATTTAAAATGTTTATGTAAAAGTATTATCACTTGAACTGTGATTCATTCTAAACAACTGAATAATTTGTTATAATTAATATTCCAAGTATCAATTCAGCACCCTCGCCGGAGGAACTGATTGCACACACTTTCGACCTAGTGAAATGCGAAAAAAGTTCTGAATCATTGCCAATGAACGATCGCAGATCGAGATGAGATATAAGGAGAGAACTATCCTCTAATGAGTTTCACGACCCAATGAATGGAATGACTGGGCATGGTGATTGATGGCTTGATTGCCAATCCAGTGGCGTACAAACGAGAATGCATATAAATAAATATTCGAATATGTGGCGAGATATGTGATTCAGACTGTAATTAGATTGCGATCTGCGAAGTCTATCTGTCTCGGAAATGAGCTCATAAATATTAGCCAGCTTTATGATGTGGTTGGCTGCATTCGTACCTGGAACTGATCCCTGCAAAAAACACTTTTTTGGCCAAAATGCTAATTAAAGTCAAGGTCAATGGGGTTATATTAGCACTAAGCTTTAAACCACATCTTACACGAGCCCTGGGATAGCCAAGAACCGTGGGAAAATAGCGGCAAGTGCCCGTAAGTAATTAATTTACACGAGTGAGTGGCTTGTGTAAGCCGATACGCCCATGAAAGCGCTGGCCGCTTAGCATGACGCACATTAAGCACGTACTGTCGATAATATTTGCTTTTAACTATAGTTATTCGTTATTATGATGAGTGGCTGCCGAGTGAAGAGTGAGGAGCCCTCTCGAGTCATCACAATCAAGTGCATTTTAATTACTGAGCTCGTTTATGCTTTGCATTTGCTTTAAATTCCTTCCGGTTATTTATTTTATTCAGACAAAGCTTTGCTCTATGCACAGGGCGATCATCATTAAGAAAGCATTGACTGATTCGGAGCGAAGGAAAACCCAACGAACTGTGACTTCCTCAGCCACCCAGTTCTGTTTGATGAAACTGCAAACCTATTTCCGTTTTGAATGTATGAATATGAAGTTTGAATATGAGTTTAATAAGGACAAGGATAACGAAAACAAAAGATACACATGCTAGAGGTTTACGCCGTGGTTAAAGGCATGGCGGCGGCGTGGGCAAAATGACTCGGCGGCGGCGGCGTAGTAGTCAGAAAAAACCGGGGGGGGGGGGGCCCATAAAAAAAAAAAAAAAACCTTTTTAAAAAAAAATATTTTTTTTTTATTTTTTTAAAAAAAAAAAAAAAAAAACGCCCCCCAAAAGCGCCCCGCCCCCCCCCCACCCCCGCCCCCCCCCCCCCCCTTTTTTTATTTTTTTTAGGGGGGGGGGGAAAAAAAAAAAAAAAAAAAAAGGGGGGGGGGGGGGGGGGGGGGGGGAAAGAAAAAATAAATAAAAAAAATTGTTGTCCATAAATTATAGGAAAGGAATTTATAGCAAGGAATTTCACGGGAGTTTTTAATTTTAAAAGTACATACTTTATTTGTTAAAATGCCAATTATATTGCCAAAATTGTTTACATGTTGGAGTTTGAAGTACTAGCAGAACCATCCATTCCATCAGACTGAACGATTGGGTCGGGTCTAATCTCAAAGTTGGTATACCCATACCGTTGGCTCTGGCGATGCGAGCTAAACTTGACCATCTTGACTTCAGACTCCGGACTGCCCGTGGTCTTGAGCCACTCCTTCATCACATCCATCTCGGCGGAGGGGCCCTCGATGTAGCCTCGCACTGTGTTCTCTTGCGAGTTCATGCACCAGCCTCGCAGGCCCAGAGTCCTGGCCTTCCGCAGGACGTGCCTTCGAAAGTTGACGCCCTTCACCTTGCCAAACACCTCGAACTGGCACGAACAGACGCCATCGGCCGCCATGGCGAACCGGAGTTCAACGAGGACGCGAAGCGGCGCGACGCACAATTTGGAAATTTGACAGAAACCAAACAGTTCAAGTGATGCCTTAAAATTACAATTCAAGCCAGACATACTATATTTAAAACAGGTTGGAGTTGGAAGTAAAACCAATTTTACTTTACTTTACAAATACTGGGAAGAATTCGTAGTCTACCTTTGGGATATACATATATAATAGGAGTTTAAACATTTTATTTGCCTGCATTTAGGAAGTTTGGGATGCTAAGTTTTCTGTGATTATAATAATACAAAAAATATATCTATTTGATAAATATATTATTTTTAAAGAAACAAGTTCATTTCCATCCTACATCCAGATTGTTCTTTTCGTTTTCTTTTTCTAGCCAATCGTTTAGAGGCTGGAAGTAGGCCAGCAAGCCATCTACGCTGATCTCGGGCTCTCCTACCAGCTCTTGCAAGACCTTCCTGTAGTGGACAGAAGATCCCAAGGACAGAGCCCTTTGGAGATCCTTCCCTATGCTACGCTGATCGGACAGATCGCACAAATCCAACGGCATTTTGGGATTTCCCCTTTCAAACTGTCCTGTTTTTGTACAAAAGTGATTGAATAGTTGGAACTGCAGAACGATGCTTAGAAATTGGCTGAAAGGAATAAATATGTTGGTTTACATTCGTAACTGCAGACTTGAGGTCATAACCGGCTTCGATCTTATAAAAATCAAGGGCTCGGCTTTAGCTACTTTACTTAAGAGAAATTAATAAAAATGTTGTCTCACCTGGCGTACTGGTCGTCCACCTCCATTAGCAGCTTAGCCGGAACATCAAACTGCTGGTTGCTCCTCTTCGAAGGAGCCGCCGACCCCGTAAAGTGCTCCGTAAATCGCCAATAGGCCTCGTTGTCGTCCCCCTTGATATGTCCGCTAAGCACTTCCACGCGGTATCGGTCGAGGACGTAGAAGACGGGCAGTAGAAAGACAACCCTCAAGCCCTGGATGTACAAGCGGTTCAGTCTAGCGGGCAACCCCTTCCACTGCCCATCCCTCAGCAAACCCATCTTGTGGAGATAGCCTGGCGAACTGGCCGCCAGGGAGAAGAACTTGCCAACGGCGTCGCTGAAGTTGGGAAAGGGCTCCTCCCGCAACAGCGTTGGCTGCGCAGAAGCAGCTCGATAGAAGTGCAAATCCGACTGAGCCTCGAACATGTTGAAGAATCGCTCCTCATCGTTGAGGGGACAGTAGGTGAAATTTGTTCGGGGCAGGGCATAATAGCGCCAGGCTTTGTGCCAGCAGCGGTCGTCATCATCGGTAGACACTGGCTGAGCGTATTCCCACAGGGAGCTGCATAAGGAAATAAAATACACAGCAATTTGGGCATTACATATAATAACTTACCTCTCTAACAGGGGCAGGCCAACCCCCCTGAAAAACTCTGCCACATTCCAAAAAACCCTTTGGGTCGTGGTCAATCCGCGACGATGCAGCTCCTGGGTGATATTTGAGAGGCCAAACTGTGGCGCGGGCAGATCCACATACCACTCGGGCTGCACACGTCGGAAAGCGTTGCCAATGAAGACCTCTGCCAGGTGCTGTGGGAAGGGCCTGTCCCTGGGCACCAATCCCAAGCCGTGCATCTTCCTCAGCGAGCCCCGAACGTGGGCGTGAAACTGGAGAAACAAAGGTCGCAGGCCGTGCATTATGTGATCCAGTAGGGTCATGGCTTCTTGGGCACCCAACTCCAGAGATCGAAACCAGTAGTCCTCGGCCCGGGGGTATCCATTAAGCTTGGCCGTCTTTTTATAAAGATCCATGAAGGCGACAAATTGGTATCTAGTGGCCAAACCCGTGCGCCGCCGCCACTCGAACCAGTAATACTCGATCTCGTCCAAATCTCGGCTCCCCTGAACTATCGACTGAACCTCTGGTATGAGCCGCAGAGTGCAATTATCCGGCTGTTTGTAGGCACACAACTTAACATTGCGGTAGTTGTCGCTCATGTTGGAGGCCAGTTCATAGACCCGCCTCAAGTCCCGGTCGGGCAGAGCCTCATATCCCAGCAGGGGAAGCTTTGACAGCTGCCTTCGTTGGAGGTCGTCGCCCAGACCAAGTCGCCGGAACTTGGCCTTTCGAGTCGATAGGGTTCTCACATACTTAACAAGCTTATTGTCGGTGACCTCAATGTCCAATAAGGCTACCAAGTCATTGGGGCCACGCAGTTCGTGCAGCAACTGTGCCAGAACAGCCTGATCATAGATAACAGCGAGTTGCTGATTGGCATCCTTTAAAAATGTTTCCAAACCGGGATCAGGCGGATCTGCCCGCGTTAAGCATATGTGAAGCTAAACAACAGAAAATAGGAGTTAGGAAAGTGTATCGGCACCTGGAGCCCTTTTCCTTTTGACTTACCACAAGCCACAACCAAAGCCACATATTCCCACACTTTCTACAAACTTCACTTTCGCAACTCAACTCGCTAGCTCATTGAAATTCCCGGCACTTTTGCCTGAACCTGTCCGTCCAAACGTTCTGCGCTTGCCCAGCTCTCGTACTGAACTGGCATGGGCCAACGACACTCCATGGCCAGAGAAGCCAGTTTGTGGCAGGCAAGCTGGGCGCCCAGTTAGCCATTTAAAATTATAATGCGCTCTAGTTTGAAAGCACTTAAAATGCTGAAACATGCACTTACAAAACGTTTTCGTAAAAATTAAAAAAGGGTCTTTTAGAGACTTGATTGATATAATATAGTTCTTCAATAGTCTAAGGAAACAGGTCTCCCAAGAGATGTATTTTATAAGCTCTAAAATTGGTTAAAAAATGTAGAAATACTTTAAGAGTTTCGGAAATTCCTTATTCTAATATTGAAGATATGCAGCTTGAGTCGTTTTTAAGCAACCGTATACGCCATGTGCAAAACTTATTACAACTAATATCCCCGAAGGTTCCTTTAATTGTATTATATATACCCAGGGTATTCTGATATTAGATATTAAAAATCAATTCCGCAAGAGTCACATTGAAAAAGAACATAGAAACAAAGTCCAAGGGAAAGGAGTTCTTACCGGTGCGGTGAAGTAAAGCCCCAACGAGGTCTAGCTGCAAACTGGTGGTAACCACTTTTAATGTTGGTGGCGATCTGTTGATGACCCTGGCAAGGTCAGAAAAAGCTTAAACCAAAACCTGCTGCTTGTCTTTAACAAGATAATTCTGCATAAAGTAGCATTTTCGTTTTTTTGCACTTACTTAGGCGTTCTGTTTAATAAAAACACTACATTAGTTAAATGCAAGCCATCATCACCCATCAATGAAATAAATGTTAATTGCATAAAACAAGTAAGGGAACGTTATTGAAACTTTATTGAACAAAAACTGTGCGAAATCAACATATCATCATATTATACGCATTCTGAAATGAATAATTTAAGAAATTAACCACGGTAAAACAGAATCCAGAGATTATACTACTTACTATCTGAAGCGGTCCAGCCAATGTGAACATTGTTCTTGATGTTCTCCGCCTCCAACCAGACGCGAAGTGGTTCAAAGTACTCGGCAATGGCCTTGCCAGTCATGGTGCGCTCTCCATTGAAGGCCTCCAGTGCGTCGGGCCAGGGCTTAGAGGCGCCCATGGACAGCATGTTGCTAAAGATTGAAAAAGGCATTTGAATAACCATTTATAAATTCACAAGCATCTTCCCAATACTCACTGGAAGGCAGCTCCAGCAGCTGCGCTACCGTAGATGTCACAGTTGTCCAGGGGTAGATCAGGATTGCTGGCATCATACTGGCCAGCCTTAATGCAGGCGGACTTGTAGAACTGGAACTGGATGATGAAGGAGACCAGGTACCTAAAATGTAATTAGTTTTAGCTTTGTTATCTGTCTTACATAAATTTTTTATACAAACCTCAGGTATTCAACATCGGCGGATACATGATATTTGGCCGGAGCATCAAAGTCCTTCTCGCTGCGCACCACTGGAGGCTCGATTCCGGAGTACTCATCCCTCAGCTTCCAGAAGGCGCAGTTCCAGTTGCTCTTGTCGACCTGGCCGCGGAACAGTGCCCACCGGTACTTGTCCATGGTGAAGGCAAAAGGCAGGAACACGATCTTGTCCAGGGCGGTGAGGAACAGCTGGTTGATGCGGGCCTCTTCGTCGCGGACATAGTCCTTTAGCAGACCGATCTTCTCCAGATGCTTGGGCGTGGACACCGACAGGGAGAGAACATCGCCGACGGCCTCATGGAAGCCGGGATTGGCACCAGCGCGATAGATGAAGGGCAGGTGCTGATACTGAAGGAAATACTGAATGTGACCCAGCTCGTGGTGGACGGTGAAGAGCTGATCCTGGGTCACGCGGGTGCACTGCTTGATGCGCACATCGTCGGTGAGGTAAAAGTCCCAGGCACTGGCATGGCAAACGAGGTCACGACCATCGGTGGGCTTCTCAATGATCGACTTGTCCCAGAAGTCCCTTTGCAAAGAAAAAGCAAAAGTAACTCCATTTCCCAGAGCTTTCCTTAGAGTGACTGTACTCACTGCGGCAGCTTGGTGAGGTTCATGGAGGTGAAGAAATCGTCGCCCATCTGGAACATCTTCAGGGCTGTGTAGCCCTGCTTCTCCATCTCGGCACTCACATCGACCAGGGGCTTCTCGGGAAACGGGGACACAATGTCTGCTATCTCGGACCACTGCTGCGCCCACATGTTGCCCAACAGGTGCATGGGAATAGGTCCCTTCTCGGAGACCACTTCGTCGCCATAGTGCTTCCGCAGGCGATAGCGCACGTAGCCGTGGATTTGTTCGTAGAGCGGACGAATCTCTGCAAAGATGTCCTCCAGCTGTTGTTCAAAGGTGGAGTCCTCGTACTCATCCAACCAAGACTCGGCTCCAGACGTGAAATCTAATGGGGGAAGCAAGTATAAGTTTGGTCCGATCTCACCGATATAATTCATTACAAATGTTCGAAACCCCCAAATACTGCTTAAAATTGATATTCACTCACTATTCAGTTTGGCAGCCTTGGTGTTGAGCTCCACGTAGCGCTCGAACTGGGATCGCACGGCGGTTCCGGCCTTGTCGTAGAACTCCCGCCAGTAGTACGTGAGCTCCTCGTGGTCGCGACTGGTGCTGATGATCTCCTCGATCTCCGGATCCAGGGCCAGATCGCACTTGGTCTTGTCCTTGTAGTCGCAGATCTTCACCTTCGCAAAGTTGGACTCCATGGCGGATACTGTTTCCAGGAACTCGGCGTAGTCGGCTTCCGGCAGAGCGGCATAGCCCAGCTTGGTGAGGGACTTGAACTGACGCCGGAGGTCCTCCGACTGATAGCTGCGCCACTGGAACTTCTGGCTGTCGCTGGCCACCTCCTTCATGAACTTGGCCAACTCGGCGGAGACCTCGTTCTTTTTCTTCTCGTTCTCATCGTTGATGTTGGAGGCATAGGCCCAAGCAGCCTCGGTCTCTACATTGGTGCGCTTCGCCAACTCCTTGTTCAGATTCTCCAGATACTCCTTGGCCTGGATCTCCTCCTTGACTAGAGCGTTGGACAACTGAAATCGAAGAGAACCGAAGGGGATTACTCAGGGCCTTTACATCTAATGCTTTACAGGACTCACCGCAAAGGTAGCAAGGAGTGCTACGAGGAACAGCCTCATTTTATGCGCCAAATTTGTTGCCTGGAAAGTTTAGTTAGCATTTTTGAATTTAGAATCTATCACAATTCTATGACACGTTATAATGGCAATTCGATGACGTACATAGATCTAATTTCATTCTGCTGAGAGTCAGTCTCTCCCCTTAATTGATTAAAATGTCTCATGTTCTGATGACTCTGGGGTCAGATCGGCACACATACTGCCAAAGATTCTCAAGTGAATTTGTGGTGCCTATAGATTCGCCACTTCAGCTGAAGAAAACACTTGGCAAATATCACAAGATAGGACATTTCCAAAGATTAGGCGTTCGTAATCAATTGAAAAATCTAAGAGCGACGAACGTGAAACACTGAATAAAGTTAACTAGCAAAAAGTTCGTTAATTACGGGGTCTTCCATTGACAATCAATTACAGCGGTGCCAGTTATGCACAACTAGTCTATATATGGTAATATAATAACAAACATATTTACAACCTACACGAATACCCTGCCTTTCGGCTTTCTCGCCGGGTCAGCCTGAGTAAATACATCGATAAAGCAGATATAGACGTAAGATCGTAAATAACCCCGATAAGCTCCAAATGTGTGTGATATTGTAGAATTTATGACCGTGTCCAGCAGAATGACTGTGGAAATCGTTATGGATCCTAGCCGCGTACCGCCTGATCCCGATAAGATTATCTCCCGATTAAAGTGACGGGTGGAATTGAATTAGTAGTATATTGACTCCAATAAAGGGCAATAACTGTTCAGAAGTAATTACATCAGAATGAGCACATCGATTGCACGCAGCAATTAGTATACCAATTAACAATTAACGAAAGGTTTTTTTCAAAATTCGCTTACTGCGATCGGGGGGAACGACTCGGTTCAAGTTCTAAGGCGTAAGGAAACTTACGTTGCGAGTGAGTGTCTGCGATGTGTCGGAACGGAACGAGCTTGACGACCGACCTGCCGCCGATCTGAACTGGAACTGAAAGTGTTTACGTGCCATTGCGTGAGTTTTATAGTCAAGAGCAGCCAAGCGGTAATGGGCAGGAAAAAAGGTACTCGGAGAAAAAATTATTAGATACACACAACAAAAAAAGTAATGCAAACTAGACATACAAAATTTAAATAAATAAACTAAATATTCGGTATAATAAATAATAGTAAATTCATATACATTGGTAAGTTCTATATATTCAGCTATATAATAAAATATATTCCCATGAAACTTTTATTTTATTTAAACCTGTAATTATAATTTGTTTTTGTAGGGTAATCAATCATCTCAATTTGTAATTTTTTTTTTTTAATTTACTTTATATATTATTCATTCACATTTGAAATATAATTTTTTCGCGTGTAATGTCTCCTCGCAACGAGCTCGACGCTTATCCGAGCGACGTCGCGTCGCCGAGTGAAATGTCCGATAATCGCGGGCATTATTTACTTTTAATGCGAACGCGGCTAAGCCTCGGCTGATGGTCTTCGACCAGATCGGAGACTCCCGGACAGGTAGGAAGGTAGAAGGTAAGCCGAGGTATGGAAGATCATTAATATGCCTGACACATTTCCTCACATTTGGCGGCTTCATTAGCAAATATTGAAGGCGTCTGAAAAAAAGGAGGGAGAAAATGATAAAGCGAGGTGATAATTTGTAAGATGGAAATAAACCTATATGCAAAGACTCCCTTGGGATTTGGAACAGAAGATTACGAAGGTGCGGCTAATGTTCTTTTCATGTTTAAATCAATTTTAAAAAGTCCGCCTAATCGATACATCATTGTCATC